TGAGTGTAATCACTGAAATTACAGGGGACGTAATGGAGTACGGGGAGCCTCGGCCTCCTTGGTTATATTGCTCTCGAACCATGATAGCATTGCTGTGGTTTACCACTCATATTCATGCCAGAGACTTGAAATACCAGTCAGTGGATCACTTTTATAAGCTTTACCCCATACACATCCGCGACTACGTACAAAGTGGAAATTTATGACTCCCCAATATAGCTTACTGTGACTGCAGCCGTGTCAAGAGAACTAAGATGTTATGTTTGAATATTTTGATTGAAATCGCTTACGGCAGCACTTTGCTTCTTTTTATGAATATGAAAATATTTATTCAAAAGGTTTAAAATGGATCTCCTCTACAATTCAGTCTGGAACGGTGGTATAAATCTTTGTTCAACCTTCAAAAAGTAAGCTTATGTATTTCTATCAATGAGTCATAACTATGATTATTCTCACAAAAAAGAGAGGAAAAACAGACTTAAGATGGATTCATTCCCAGCAGCAGACCCAACCTGTAATTTAGGATTTATTTCAGGTTAGTTTTCCAAGATATGGCATACACTAGCGCCAAGCTGGATGTTTTTGTTTGTTGTTTTTTTTTTCCTCCAACCACGTTGCACATATGTCAACAGTGATCTCCCCAACTCTGGAAGAGTTAGGCAACATCATAATATAATTTTCATTGTAGTTGTCACAATAGGATTCAGAAACAATAGAGCTATATATTGTCTCCTACTCTGGCACAGTACAATTTAACACTGTCTCCTGTTTGCCCACTTAGCTGCAAATGAAACATAACCAACTTCTAAATGGCCTTTTTGATAAGCATAAAAATGTAGTTCTAGTAAAAATATATCTAGTATAGATAGTTTTTTTTGTTACAGTTTAATTAGCTTGGATTATAACATTTTACTAACCTAATCATGTAAAGTGTACATTCCTGTACCACAGGGCTTTTACTTTGGGCAACTGTATTTTGATATTTCTGTCATTTTCAATTTAAAGTCATAATAGCAATCAAAATACACAATTTTTCTACTTTTTTTTTCGCTTTTGACTATTCAGTTCAGTCAGTTTATTTATATAGCACCAAGTCACAACAGAAGTCATCTCAGGGCACTGAACAGAAGCATTCATTCATTCAACAAAGTACATGCTCAATAATCTATCCATCTATCCATCCGTCCGTCCATCCATCTGTCCATCTATCTGTCCATCTAGCAGGTCGAGAATCAAGATAAGATAGAAATCGTATCAAATGAAAACTGAAGACTGAGGAAGTCCTCCAGATGACACGATTTAACCTTTTTTTATTGTTATCTACCTGAATGATTGGGCTTACAACCCTTTATCAAATGAAAACTTTTCATTTGTAAACCTATTTAAGGAAAGGAGGTCAATTTGTCCTCCAGTAGTCTTAGCCTATGGCAGCATAACAAGCCAACCCTAACTATAGGATTTATCAAAAAGGAAAGTCTTCAGCCCAGTCTTAAAACTGGACAATGTGTCAGCCTCATGGACAGAAACTGGAAGTTGGTTCCACAAGAGAGGAGCCTGATAACCGAAAGATCTTCCTCCCATTCTGCTTTTGGAAACTCTAGGAACTGCAAGTAAGCCTGCAGTCTGAGAGCGAAGTGCTCTGTTGAGAAAATATGGAACAATAAAATCTGTAATATAAGATGGAGCTAGGTTGTTGAGGGCTTTGTAGGTTAGAAGTAATGTGTGTATTATCTGGGATAAAAATAACCTTTAAATACAAACCGGATTCCCAAAAAGTTGGGACACTAAACAAATTGTGAATAAAAACTGAATGCAATGATGTGGAGATGGCAAACATCAATATTTTATTCGTAATGTAACATAGATGACAGATCAAAAGTTTAATCTGAGTAAATGTAACATTTTAAAGGAAAAATATGTTGTTCCAAAATTTCACAGTGTCAACAAATCCCAAAAAAGTTTGGACAAGTAGCAATAAGTGGCTGGAAAAAGGAAATTGAGCATATAACGAACAGCTGGAAGACCAATTAACACTAATTAGGTCAATTGACAACATGATTGGGTATAAAAAGAGCTTCTCAGTGTCAGTGTCTCTCAGAAGCCAAGATGGTAAGAGGATCACCAATTCCACCATTGTTGCACAGAAAGATAGTGCAGCAATACCAGAATGGTGTTACCCAGCGTACAATAGCAAATACTTTTAAGTTATCATTATCAACCATGCATAACATCATCAAAAGATTCAGAGAATCTGGAACAATCGCTGTGCGTAAGGGTCAAGGCCGTAAAACTCTACTGGATGCTCGTGATCTCCGGGCACTTAAACGTCACTGCACCTCAAACAGAAATGCCACTGTCAAGGAAATAACAGAATGGGCTCAGGAATACTAACAGAAAGCATCGTCAGTGAACACAATCCACCGTGCCATCCGCCGTTGCCAGCTGAAACTCTACAGTGCAAAGAGGAAGCCATTTCTAAGCAAGCTCCACAAGCTCAGACGTTTGCACTGGGCCAGGGATCTTTTAAAATGGAGTGCGGTAAAATGGAAGACTGTTCTGTGGTCAGATGAGTCACGATTTGAAGTTCTTTATGGAACACTGGGACGCCATGTCATCCGGACCAGAGAGGACAAGGATAGCCCAAGTTGTTATCAATGCTCCGTTCAGAAGCCTGCATCACTGATGGTATGGGGTTGCATGAGCGCTTGTGGCATGGGCAGCTTGCATGTCTGGAAAGGCACCATTAATGCAGAGAACTACGTTCAGGTTCTATAACAACATATGCTCCCATCTAGACATCATCTCTTTCAGGGAAGACCCTGCATTTTTCAACACGATAATGCCAGACCACATTCTGCAGCAATCACAACATCATGGCTACGTAGGAGAAGGATCCGGGTACTGAAATGGCCAGCCTGCAGTCCAGATCTTTCACCTATAGAGAACATTTGGTGCATCATAAACAGGAAGGTGCGACAAAGAAGACCCAAGACGATTGAACAGTTAGAGGCCTGTATTAGACATGAATGGGAGAGCATTCCTATTTCTAAACTTGAGAAACTGGTCTCCTCTGTCCCCAGACGTCTGTTGAGTGTTGTAAGAAGAAGGGGGGATGCCACACAGTGGTAAAAATTGTCGTCCCAACTTTTTGGGGATTTGTTGACGCCATGAAATTTGGAAACAACAGATTTTTCCCTTAAAATTATACATTCTCTCAGTTTAAACTTTTGATCTGTGATTTGTGTTCTATTCTGAATAAAATTTCAGATGTTGGCACCTCCACATCATTGCATTCAGTTTTTATTCACAATTTGTTTTGTGTCCCAACTCTTTGGGAATCCGGTATGCATCATTCACTACCGAGTCATGTTTTGTTGCCAACCAGTATGAATTGTTTGTTTACATTCAAACATTGATGAATACACTTCAGGCAGTCTTGGTACATGACAGATGTAAAATAATTTGTGGTTGTAGAGTCACAGGGAGAACAATGGAATCAGAGATGCTGGATCCAAAGAGAAAAGTTAAAGTTAATCTCTTCTTTTGAAAAGAAACGACAACTAATGGACAAGAGTCGACAGAAGCAGAGTCATTTTAAGCAAAGTCAAGTGGTGGAGAGCGTTAAAGCAAAAGCTGAAGCTAAGATCATATGAAAATTAGCTGTACCAAGATATTTGGAACTCCACGGGAAAATTTCCACAACCCATCACCAAATTTAGTTCTAAACAAAGGATGAGGATATTTGCGGTTTTCTGACAGAATTTTTAAAATGAAAACCTTGTTGAGTTGATGCATGCTCAATAATCCAGGTAGAAAAATCTAAACAAGTTAAATCTGGTCCTCTGGACCAACTACGAGAAGGTGCTATTTATAAGACTGAGCTGAATACAGCACCTCAGACTGAAGAAGTCCTCAGATGAAAGACAAACATTTCTACAATTTATTTATTCATTTATTTTTGAATGTCCAGAGGACCAGATTTAAAACTTTTTTTTTACTTGAGTTGAGTAACATTAACCCCCAATCAATCATTTAATGATGTTGGATTTGTTAGAAACCTAACATTCATCATGAAAACATAGAAAACTTGAGTATTTTGACAGTTATTATGGCTTTAAAATATGTAAAATCACAACTGTTAAATGTTTTTTTTAAACTGACTGAAGAGTTTTAAACATGCCACCCATGATGACACAGTTAAACTTTCATTGTTTCTTCCTTTAAAATGAACTTTTCTCAGTGATCACTGCAGTCACTTTCAAATTCTCATTGTCTTTCTGGCTACTGCATTCAGAGGGTAATTATTGTTCAAAGCCAAGTTTACATGTTGAATATCAGGCAAGAAAAACCTGCGGTGGGCAAATTAATGGCCTCATAAAACGCAAAAATTAAAACCATCAATTACTTCCTTTGTTTCATGTCTTTCCAAGAATCTGTACCTGCTAGTTTAGAAGGTGCTCTGGTAATTACCAAGAGGAACAGTCTGAGTGTCCCGTGGTGAAAGTGTGTAGCTGGTTAAGAAACAAAGCAAAACTCAAAGTCATGCACAGGAAATAAGGTCTTTAAACTTCTGAGGAAAGAAAAAAATGCACTGAACATGATTGTTGTTGTAAAAAGAGGAAGCTTTAGTAATTTTGGTATTTTTAACATGAGTGAATTGTTCTTACCCTTACAGGTAAAGACAATGTATCTTTTAATTGTATGTTTTATCCCATATTAAATAGTTTAACTTAAAAAAAAATCTGCATATTTCTCTCCAATCATCCTTGACTGGCAGACTTTAGTTATAGTGATCTTTATTCTTGTCTTTGATCACACATCTCAGCATTTTTTGTTGAATTTGTCTGTGTTGATGGGGGAAAAACCCTTTTTTGTTTTTTCATTTAGATCATCCCCATATATGTTCCTCTACTGACTAACAACAATCTAAGTTTAATTACAGCTACAACAATAACGACTTGCTATTATTTATCTGAATCTCCCATTTGTTCTTTCCCCAGCAGGTGTGAGTGCAAGCGGCGTGTCTGTCCCTGAGAGGGTGAACGCAGTGCTCGGCAAGAACATCACACTTGGCTGCAGGATAGAGCTGGGATCTAATCTGAGCCTCACACAGATCTCCTGGGAACGCCGTCATCCTTCGGGCACCATTACCCTGGCAGTGTTCAATCCCAAGTATGGAACGTCGTATTCTCAAGATTACAGCAAACGCATCTCGTTTGTCTCCCCTTCCATACGAGACGCCACCGTTACCCTTGAAGGGGTTACGTTTGCAGATGACGGGTCCTACACCTGCAAAGTGGTTACGTTTCCTCTGGGCAATACGCAAGCAACAACCATGGTTAATGTGTTAGGTAAAGTATAATTCTATATCTTTAATCTCTATGGATTTGTTTGTTAAATTGTCTTAAAGTCTGTTTTGCGAAAGCAGGACACTGTTTGTTGTCATTCTGCAACGCCTGAGTGACCACTGTGTGCTTGAAGCCGCCTAACATGTAAACTACTAACTAGAACCATGAACACTTCAACCTTTGTTGGAATCTGCAGCTGTAGAGGAGCTGCTGTGGAGCTGCCTCTGTCCAGAATTACTTTAAACGTTACTTTAAGTTTTGATTGTGCACACTTCATTGCCGCTGGTTGGAAAAACTTACTTTTAAACATTTCAGTTGCTGTCATCTACTTTTATACGGAACGAGTGATCCTCAGACTCCCCCAGCATCTTAGTTACACAGCAACAAGTTAATTGCAGGGCGTGATTCAAAGTGAGTTTTGTTATGTTCAGTTGCATTTTGCCATGTTGTATGGAAATGTTTCACACGTAAGACTGCTCTTAAAACTGCAGCGTGTAGCTCTTTTTGCATTAGTTAGTAGTTGTTCCTTTGATCACACCTGTTGGGTAATCATAATTGCAGCTCTGACAGTTATTCTTGCAAACTCAGCCCGTACACAAACCTTTTTAAATCACTACTTAGTATCTGATTATAGCAAAAATGATTAAATAATCATATTTGTCAAGACTTCCCATTTCTGACCCTTATTAATTAACAGACTGAAGAAAATAGCTGCTCTATTTACAAACTATGATCTTCTCTCTGAAGACAAAGACCTTTTTTGTGCGATCAGCGTATGTTTGGAGCTCTTGGTAGGAGATTGCACTGCAGGCAGCGTCTTCTCGTCTTCCTCAGAGACAGAAGGAGACTCTCCTGTCTAATGAGCAGCACATTAAGTATTGCTGCAACAGCCACAGTGTCTGAGACTTCACAGCGTTCAATTACCCCTCGCTGTCTTCTCTGAGCAGCTTTGCAGGCATCTTTTCTGTTCATACAAACACATGCACACCCAAACGCAAACACACACCTTCTTTACAATTCAGATGTAATTAGAGTGTGATTATGGAGGAAGTATATGTTCTTTGCAATCTGATACACGTCATGTGGGAATTAGCTTGTCCCACACAGTATTTAAAAACACAAACCTGCTGACTGAATGCCAGCAAGTTTAAGTTCGCAAGTGGCCTCTTTTTCCACCATCGTTCATTTGGACGTGCACGTTTAAAAAAAAAAATACTCCTTCCGTTTTTATCATATTTATGCTATTAATTCCACTTTAACACAGTGACTGTGACCCGACAACAAAATCCCAGAGAAGTTGTTGATAACTTGTTTGCAGATGAGAAATTGCTTGTGTTTGTCAAACATTTGTTTTGTTGATGTCAACTGTGTGCCAAGCAATCTCATGTGCAACATTTTGTCTTCTTCCTTTTTATTTATCTACTTGTTGGCTACTCTGACTACGCTTTCAAGCTTCAAGTGCTGCAGTACAACGCAAACATGTTTTTACAAATTAAAACATCTAAACTACTTGAATAAAGTAAATCCCCTAAATAGAATTGCGATCCGTTATCTTAACTCTTCAATATGTAGTCTACACAATTTGTTGTTTCACTCCAAAGTGCATTTTGTATTTACATTTTTTATATTTGAACTTGAGATTTCTGCTTTGATTCATGTTTATACTTTGAGGATTATGAAAAGCACATGACTGCCGTTCCATTTCTTAGAAACTAAAGTAAAACCGTTAAACATTCAAACTCATGAGTGATCGATTAAAGTCACGCCACACAGATTGTAATGATTAACAGGTGCGTTAAATCAGAAGTCACACTCTTGATACAAACAGCTGGAGTTTGAACAGTATCATGACAAAGACATGTTTGCTTGTATTTAAGTTCCCTGGCACCGTGAAGACAGAAATCCTAACGTGTGAGCAAGAGGAAGGAAGCAGAGAAGGACCATGTTACCCAGACTATGAATTACAATGGTCCTTTGTTTTCATCTACTGACAGGTCAATGAAATTCTGCTGAACAATTGTTTTAAAAACAAAACTCCAGCACGATTAATTTTATAAAGTAGATTTTTGCTGATAAGAAACTTCTTAAACAGTTTAAAGTGAAACGGTTTTCACATTTTTCTCAGAGCTGTTTCATAGTGCTGTTGTTTTTTATGAGTCAATAATAAACGGAGCGGTGAGCGACACACAGCGATGGTTTAAGTTGCTTAAATCTGATGAGTGTTATGGTTTCCACGCCATAAAGCAATTTCATTTCTGCTTTCAGTCTGTTAAAATAAGGCTGGGCTTCCCCATTAGCATTTTTTATGAGTCAGAAAGTTAAATATACATGTTGCTATGGAGCTAAAAATTGTGTTTTGCTATTTTGTCCGCAAAATAAAAATATTGCAACCAACTATAACAGTCATTCATTTGACCTGTTAGTCATTGGCAGCTGTCATGCACATTTATTTTCTTATACATTACTTGCATTGTTTTTGTTTTCAAAGCAGTTTTTTTTGTCTAGCTTTTAAAATAGTTCTCCCTCAGAGATTGCTGCTCTGATATTAATGTTACATGTGCAGTTACAGTATCAGTATGCATGCAGACAAAAACAACCAATGCAGACAGTTTACTGAAAAGAAATTGTTACTCTTCCTCTCCTGACAAATTTCCATTCATCCCAAGAAGAGCTTATTTCTCTTATTGACTGCAACCCCAAAATTAACACGTCTGTCTGATTCAGTTATTCCGATGTTTCAGCTGCCGACCCTGCTAGCATAGAGCAGCTACTGTTTAAATGTCACAGCCTGCAAGGAGGGGCAGGGTGAAGAATGTGAGGTGGAGCCCTGAAAAACAACAACCACGCCCCTGCAGAGGGTACACGAGACGGCAGGTTATTTTTGGAAATGAAAAAAGGAGGGGAACAGGGGTGCTACTAGTTGCTTGAATGCGTTGTGGGACCTTTTGCCTGGCTGGCGAGGAGGAAGACTGCAGATGTCTTAAAGATGTTGGCCATGTCTTGTGGATTATGAGGGTAGGTGCCCCCACGCACTGCCTTTAAAACTGTCCCCAGTGCAGCAAGTGGAAAAGCTGCTTGTTGACTTTGTATTTTTTTTTTTTTATCAAGGAGGGGGTGGTTTATTGCCACACAAAGTAGAAGAAATCTAAATAGAAACATATTCAGGTCTAACCCATGCTTGTTTACTTCACTCCCCCTCCAGTGTGTCCTCCTCTTGACTCTTTGGTCTGGATGAACTTTTTCACTTGTCATTGCTGGCAGTTTGTGATATGCATATCTCCCCCCCTCTAGCACGGAGCAGTGTAAAATAGTTTACTTGTTTCCATAGCAGGTAGAGGGTTACATTGTTCTGCTCACATTCCTTTCATATGGTTCTGTTTAACCTCACTGTTGAGAAAATCCCTGTAACATCTAAATGTTGAGTCATTCTCTGGGAAACGGTCTACCATTGACCATGCTCAGAAACAGTGAGACTCTGCTGTACTGGAGGATGAGGATAGAATCACCTTCAAAGTCAAATATAAACACAGCACAAAGTCCACTGCAGCCTCAGTCTACGGTACTGAGTGATTTTCTCAAATGATCTGCACACCTCACACACTGATGGACTTTACAGGAATAATGATATTAATAAGACCAACAGGTGAGGCTGCTGTTCATCACCTAGTCTTGAACTCACTTTCTCCTTGGCACACGACAATCAAGACATTTCCTCTTAAAACCCCATCTATAACTGAGATAGTGTGTCGTTAATTTTTAATGTGTTTACAGTAGGCGAAAAGAAATCAATTTGTGCTCTTTTGGCAAAGAAGCACGATGAGGCCGCTGGACATTATTTATTTATACATATACACAAAAAGATCAATAATATTCGTTTCATAGCCTCTCTCCATTTTGTCCTTTCTTCCCCTCCTCCTGTCTTTTCACACTCAAACAGTGGAGCCGAAGGTGTACGTATCTGCGGGCCCAGCAGCCCTGCTGGACGGTGGGGACGAGTCGCTGGTGGCTACCTGCATAGCAGAGCGCGGCCGCCCCGCCGCTGAGGTTTTCTGGGAGACGGAGCTGTACGGGCGGTCCGAGCGGCAAAGTCAGGACGAGCCTAACGGCACCTCCACCGTGCAGGTGCGCTACATGTGGCAACCGCAAAGCTACGCCCAGGGGAAGACGCTCACCTGTGTGGTGCGCCACCCGTCCCTGCAGACAGAGTTCCGCATACCCTACAAGCTGAACGTTCACTGTAAGTGCTTCTTCTGTCTGACGTGATAACTAAAGACCACCCACATTATATATATCTCATCTTTAACATGGTCTTATTTATTTTAAATGCTAGAAGTAATATAGATAAAACAACCTTTCCAGATCATTTGTTCTGTTTTTGCACTAAATTACCTATTATTGTTCTAGTTTACTATATTTTGAGTAAGATGGCAATGACTTTTAATTATTTTTAGTTCCTATAAACTAGTACAGTTAAAAAGTGGAGCAAAACTAAATTAGTTTTGAAAATATCTACATAAAATGGACCAAAATATAATGCAGCAATAAATGTTACAGTTTGTCTTAAGGAGAATAACTCACTACTATATTCTTTCATAAATTTCCTGATCACTAACTCTTTTTTTTTTACCTTCTGTACACCTAAATCTATTGAAAGAGCAATTTTTATATGTTATTGTCATGATTACTGATGTACTTCCTTAACAAACAGAACATCAGTCTATGTTCTGTGTGAGTGCAGGCTCATGAAGGTGTTTTTTGAAATATTGATCAGCTTTCAACAGCAACATAAGTAGCAGGAGGCTGCTGGGGGCAGCAAATGGAGGCACACCAAAACCAAGGTTAATACAAGAAGAGAGATACTCCCTCGTTCAATAAATCACGTCAGATGCAGAGCCAAGGGATTTTAAGTGCAAGAAAAGCACAATTTGGACGTTGAACTGTGTGAAAAGGGTTCAGTGAACACCGTGACATCTTCCCATAGAGTGAATGAGTTCCTCATTTGTCCCTTCGAGAAATCAAAATGGAAAATTAGATATCTTAGTCTGTGTTTGCCATGTTTTATTACAATACCATGTACTGGGCTTGGAGTTTATTAGCAGCAGTTCATCTGCTCTTTTTGAGAGTCTTATCATTGTCTAACTTTTCAGCTACCCTGAATCATTTGTTCTCCTGGATCGCTTTAATTAGCAGATCTCAAACCCAATTTCCATCCTGCACAGCATTTGTTCTGTCCCCGCTTGCTGCTGTGCCTTTAATGCACGCATTGTTCATTCTTAAAAAGCTCATTTGTTTTCAGACCGAACACAGTAACTGATTATAAAGTTCCAGTCTTATACCTTCGGATAAGAAACAGCATAAAAATACACGTCAGCATGACCAATACTACTTTTATAAGAAAAAGACAGTAGTGTTAATTATAAATTCAGGAACATTTTTATTATTATAAACTTGTGTTGCCTTTTGTTTTTCAGTTGCACCAGTTATATCAGTACAAGGAATTGAAAAAAACTGGTATGTTGGCCAAGTTCATGTGAAATTCACTTGTTCTGCCAAAGCCAACCCACCTGCTCGTTCCTTTACGTGGATCAGGTCAGTATAATCAATGCATGCCTTCCTGTGGAGAAACTACTCTGAATGATTTGCCACCATCTCTATCCTCTCAGTGTGGACTTTACATATTGTTTCTTTATATTAACCCTCAAACCAGATCGCTCTATTGATTCCAGAAACCTCTGAATTCCAATAATAAAGCGAGTCCACGTGCATCTTCAGTGTTTAACACTCGAACCTCTGTGTTACTTTTAGAAACTTGCAATGTTAGATTTACTCAATCAAAGATAGCTCGTTGTTCATTTCATTCAAAGCCAGAAACATGAATGTTTGCTGCACACATCTTGATTTAGATGTTTGGAGTCACTGGAATGTTCCTATAATCAAACCAAGGGGCTCTGTCTCGCAGAGGGCCCCAAATACTGATTAGAAAACTGTTTGCAGCCCTTCAGACAAAAAGGAGTGTAATTAGAATCTACATTCACACAATTCTTTAAATTTAGGAGTTCTGTCCTGTTGCACAACATTGTCATTAAAAAGCTTTTAGAGCCACACTTACAACTCAGCTCTCACTCACCCTGAAGGACAATGAAACTAAATGCATGGATTAAAGTTCTCCGTCGCCGCGACAGGTTTACATCATCTGTAAAAATTTAAGTGGGGAAAAATGTGTTTTGTTGTGGTATTTTTAAAGCCATCCAGTCTAAAAATGATGCAGGGATTACACTGACCCTGCTTTCAACAAACAAAGGGAACAGGAGCAACAGTTTGATCCAGTCAGTCAGAGCAGGTCGTGCTGTCTGGAGCACGGTGAGCCCAGAGCACTGGTCCCAACTTGGAGAGAGACCGCAGGTGAGAGCACTGATCAGGATTTCTACTATTTTTAAAGGACACCGTTCTACCCCAACAGATCCCACCCCCCTCCAAAGAATGACATGTAATAAACTATTTGTCTAAGTATTAAACTTATACGTTCGCACATGACCGATTCACTGCAGCCAGGGAAGATACGAGCACTAATGCACCGTCACCCCACCCTCCCGCACCACCCCCAAACCTCCCCTGGTCTTTTTTATTTAAAATCTAGTTTTGTGTTAAATGGTAATGTCTTCGGAGCATCGTCTTCAACGTGACACGTGCAATCTGCGCATGTGACCGAACTCCTGGTCCAAGAGTACAAAATTAAACAAGAGTAAAAGTATGCAGCATACTGTAGTGTTTCCTCTACCATTCTGCTGTGGCTGAGTGGGTAGAGCAGTCGTCCTCCAATGCGAGAGTTGGGGGTTCGAATCCACCAGCAGTCACATGTCGAAGTGTCCCTGGGCAAGACACTGAACCCCTCATTGCCTTTGATGTGTGTCCCATCGGTGTATGAATGTGATAAAGCTCTGATTATTCTATTTAGAATGATTTGTTCAGTTAGCTTTGTAGAGATCTAGTAGAGTGCTGTATGAACAGGTAAATGAGGACACAGATTGTTGTGTAAAGCACTTTGAGTATCTTGAAATAAGATAGAAAGGCGCTATACAAGTACAGTCCATCTACCATTATTTGAGCGGGGCGCCCTGCCCCGTTAACAGAACCGACCACCTACCAAACCGAGCTGCATGCACCCCACTCCTACCTGTCAGCACCAATGACAACGCAATACAGGTGTGCTAGCTAAAAAGCTAAAGGCAGTGCTCATGCTGCCTCTTCCCTGATGCTAAATAGATACCGTGTACTTTTACTAAGGTTATACACACAGTATACTGTGTACTTTTACTAAGATCATGTACGCAGATACTGTGTACTTTTACTAAGATCATGTATACTCCTCTACATGAAAACCTTTGGGAAGTGGCCCGTCTGCAGGAAAAAGCTCTCAAATGTGTGGGTGTTTTTGTTGTTGTTGTTCTTGGGGTGGGGTTCTTCTAGGTGAAGAAAAAAAATCTCAGTCAGAAGTTGTTTTTTTCCAGCTTTAATCCCTGTGAATGAATTAACTGCTGTTAGTTTGAGGTTAAAGGCTGCTACTACAAGTTATGCAAATTTAAAAAACTATGCATATAATTGTTGTGCTTTTATTATGAGCAGATGAACCCCCCCCACCCCCCAGAGTTACTTAAATTAGTGACTATAAGAAGAAGAAGAAGAAATCTGCTGCCGTTTTGTGCTCGACTCATTCTGAACTGGGTTTAATAAATCTAAATGAAGCAGTGAAGTTGACACACTCATGTCTATAAATTACCTCCAGTATAACTTTGGAGCTGGGATACTGGAGCTGTCAGACGTTTCTCTGCGCCCTTTGGGACGACGCCCTGCTATAAATAAAGTTTACAAACAGTTTGTGCATCACAGCAACATGAGCCTTTTGGCAACTTTTTATCATCATCTTGATTTTAGAGAAAAAAAAAAAGTCATTTTAGCACGAGCAAAGTCTAAACTTTTAAGGTTTTCTCTTTTTATTTTGTTACCTAAATGAGTTAATTCATCAGTCTAGATGATAATATATATATATATGGTCATTAGTCATTTTGTTATATTTTTCACGCGCATTGTATTATTATTATTATTATTAATAATATAGTCTCTGTCCGTCAGTACATACGTCTGTAAACTTCCTCTTGTCCCACACAACTTCTGATCTGCTCAAGATAATTTAATGAAACTTCATACATAGGCATCATCACTAGATGGAGTTTCATGTACACTTTTCATCACCCCAGCTGCAAGGACAAGGTCAGAAATCAAGGTCAAATGTTATACAAGGCCTTTGATGATCCCGCCCATAACTTCTTATCCGCTCAAGATACTGTAATGAAAAATCATGCACATGCATCATCACTAGATGGAGTGTCACATACAATGTTCATTACCAAAGCTTCAAGGTCAAGACCACAAATCGTTGGTTACGTACTGTAACCCCAGATTCTATGAATATAGGCGTAGCCCTTTAAGGCTGTCGCTGATGGGTTTATCCCGTTATGCAGAGCATAAGCACTGAAAAAATTTAGTCCACGCCCACCTGCTGTGTGGGCCCCACCCGGTCCGTATAAATTACGTTAAGAGCGGGAAATCGGCTCCCAAAATAGCTTTTTTCTTCAGCCATTTAGGAGCCAGTGAGGCCCGACGCTTAAAGGGCTACGCCTATATTCATAGAATCTGGGGTTACAGTACGTAACCAACGTTCTATTTCATATAGGCTTCGCCCTTTAAGGCTGTCGCTGATGGGTTAAGGGCGAAGCAGATGTGGTCCTCGCCTCACTGGGTCCATTCGAACACAGTAAGAAGCGGAAGCTTGCCCAAAAAACGTCTTGTCACTCAGCTCCCCGTGTGCATAACTACGCATCGCGTAATTATGTGCCATGCACAGACGCATGTTGTGTAACTATGCGTTCTGACAAAGCATGAATACCCCGGAAAACTTTCAACGGAAGAAGAAGTTGAAAAGAGGGGTGGGGGGGGGGCATGAACCAACTGGTTCATGGCTGAACAGTATAAACAGATTAATGTCCATGAATTGATTATTGATCAAATGAACTGATTGGTAACAATAATCATGAACTGATTAGTGACAATAGAACCAAAATCACAGACACAACTTGTGACTGATAACAACATCTCACACTGTAATGCATGCAGACAGAAGTGAGCTTAAACAGAGTTCCATGAGAACAACAATATTCATTCTGTTAGAGCACTAAGGACAGAATGTGTCATGGAACGAGCCGTTACATCACGTAGGTAAAAGCGAATAACTGAGCAGAGTGTTGACCATGCAGCCGCAGTGCAAATGTCCTGCATTGACATACCATTATGCAGAGCAGTCCAAGATGCGATACCCCTGGTCGAGTGTGCTTAGAGGTTGACAGGAGGCCCTAAATCTGATGCTCTGTAGGCTTCAGAAAAGGCCTCACACAGCCAGTGTGACAAGCGCTGGATGGATAACGACGACCTGCAGAAGCATCTCTATAATGCACAAACAATTATTGAGTTTGAAACGCATTGCAGCTGTGCGCGTTATGTAACACGTCAACGCCCGCACCGGGCAGAGAAGATGAAAAGATGCTTCCTCTTCTGATCTGTGGGGGGGGAAGAAACCCCTCCAACGATATCACTCTTGATTTAAAAGAGCTCGTGATGTTTTAGGCATAAAAGCTGGGTTGGTCTTAAATCAGCTGAGCTGCCCGTCAGCCTAAATTCTAAGACATGACGGAGCAACAGAGAGGGCAGATAATTACTTGCCCTCTTAGCGGGTGTTAAAGCCAGCAGCAGGGCTGTTTTAAGAGATAAGAATTTTAAGTGAAAACCTGATCCAGAGGCTCAATTGGAGCTTTGATCGGGGCTCGCAGGACCAGCGTTAAATCCCACTGTGGAGCAAGTAGACGTGAAGCAGGCCTGCGTCTCTGAACATCTCTTAGAAAAACGCTTCATCAGCGGGTGATTAAAAGCTGTTCTGTCTCCGAAAACTTTGTGGCAGGAAGAGATGACTGCAACGTACGTTAAAGCATACTGAATGCCAACTCCCTATCCATCAGCTGTTGTGGAAAAACAACACGCCGCCTAAAAAGCATGAGGTGGCCTCTAAACCTTCTCTGTACACCAGCGCTGAAAGCCGTCCCCTTTGATGTGTACAGAACTGTGGTAGATGCAGCACGTGAATCTTGAATTGTGCACACTATCTCCTGAGGGAGACCCATCCTCTAAGTGGGACCGCTCAGCGGTCAGACCCACAGGTGCTGACCCATTTCTGGGTAACTCTTGGTCGCTCCTCCTGCCTGAAGGAGAGCATCCTCCATCCACGGCAGTTCCACGGCGACCCGACAACAGACGGTGCAGGCCTGGGAACCATGGTGCGTTCACACGCTCGGGAGCCACCAGGAGAGCTGTCAATCCCTCCTCCTGAACTCGGTTCAGGAACCGTAAAAACAGAGGAGGTGGGGGAAAAAACGCGTACAAAAGCGTTTTGGGCCACGGGCTGTGAGCAAATGCGTCCCCCCCCAGCGATGGATCGTCTCGCGGGCTCAGGGAAAACCATAGTTGACACTGAGCGTTCTTCTCGCGTCGCAAACAGGTCCACAGCTGCTTTGCCAACTTCTGCTACGTCTGAAAAACATCAGATCTGGATGGAGGGTCTGGTCCACGTGACGTGGGCCGCCCCTGGACATCACATCTGCCCCTCTGTTCAGAACACCGGATATGTAAACCGCTCTAATAGAGAGCAGGTTTTGATGAGCCCAACACAGTAGCTTTCGCGCAATGTGTAACATCTGGGCTGAACGCACACCCTTTGATGGTTATGTACGCAGCAGTCATCATGTTGTCTGTGTGAATCAACACGTGTTGATTCTGTAGCACGGGAGCAAAGTGTTGAATCATATTCAGTGCTGTGCGACACTCCAAAACATTGATGTGGGCTGATGTGTAGTGGGGCCACAGCGCCCCTACTGCTTGAGATAGGCATGTCCCCCCCCCCCCCCCCCCCCCCCCCCC